TGGGGCAGCAGAAGTGACTGTTTCCATGTAGGAGCCACCGTGCCAGACCCCCACAGCTCACCTCTTCATCTTGGTTTTGCCACAGAAGGCGCAAGTGTATCTGGCATGCTGGCGGATCTAACTTTACTCACCATTTTCCTGAGGGAGGCGGCATATGGGTGCCCTATTTACCGAGAATTCAGACCTTCTTGGTGAATTTAGCCATGCTGCTGCAAACTAGGTCGGAACCCAAGACCTACGTCGGACCCAAGTCTTTATGACCAGTTTTGAAAAAATTGATTGTGATGTACTTTATTGAAATTTTCTTAATATTTCTTGTGCTTAGATGAGGTTTGCTGAGATTCTTATATTTGGATATCATTGAGGTTTTTCACATTTGAAAGGTTTTGACTTATTTCTTCCAAGTTTCTTTTTGTCCCACAGCTCACTGGTGATCTGTTTGTTTTTTAAATGTATGTCTATATTTCCCTTTAATACAGTTTATTGCTGTGACTTAAAATAGACTAAGTTTTATCTTGTATTGTCTAGTCTGTCTTTAACCCCACTCAATGTAGTTTTCATCTAAGGCCTTGTAGTTTTCTTCACTCGAAATTAGATTTTGTCTTTATTATATCTTCCTTTGCTCTATATCATTTCTGACCATATGTAATATAGTCCTAATAGCTGATTTAATGGCCTTCTCTGCTATTGTGTCTGTTCTGCATTCATTTTGATTGATTTATTTCTGGGTTTTGGGTTTTTGTTGTTGTTGTTGTTGTTTGTTTGTTTGTTTTTGGTCATGGTTCCCTAGTCCCTTATATGCTTGTGCCATGGGCCAAAGACCTCAAAGATCCCTGCCTCCATTATTCACTTCCTTGTGTGGCCCCACAGCCTGAGTCTGTGCCGCCTAATGTCTTGCTTTTAACAAACGAAAAACAACCAAGTGACAGAATGTCACTGTTTCGGTTAAGATACAAGAGACTGTCATGTCTATCTTGCTAGCAAACTCTATTCCCTTCTTCACTTCCATGTTTTGAATAATCAAGTCCCAATATTGCAGCCACCTATGTAGCAAAAAAACTGATGGCAGATTCTACCCAACAGACTGAGGCCAACAGTTCAACAGTTGCCTACAAGGTATTGTTCTGAATCCTGCTAATAATCATGTGAACTTGGAACTGTTCACATGATCTGTTCCCTAGTTGTGCTTTAAGATAACTGGGCCTAGCAGACAGTTTCTTAGCTTGTAAGAGAACCGGAAGTAGAGCCCCTAACTACACCTTGCCCAGATTGCTGGTGCATAGGAATATTTCTTAGCATTGGATTTGTTTGCATGACAGACATTGTGAAATTTACCTTTTTTGATGAATTCCTACGAATATTCTTCAGCTTTGTTTTTGAGATGCTATCACATTTCTTACAAAACCTTGATCCTTTTGGGTTTTGCTTTTATGATTTTTTAGGCAGGATCAGGACAGTGCTCAGGCTAGGACTATATTGTCCCCAGTAATGAACCAGTTTTAAGATTATACCAAATGAATCATTAAATTTTCCAGTCTGGCTGGTGGTAATAAGAAGTAATACGAGCACTGTGTGACCACCTCTTGGATAGTGCTTTCTCCAGGCTCAGGGATTGTCGTCATGTGTATAAGTACACCAGTACTCAGCTGCACACTGGAGGGTAACTCTCAACTATTAGATAAAGGCTGTGCCCACATCACACCTTAGGTGCATAGACTTGGAATTACACTGCATGGAGTCTCCCAAAGGACCCCACAGGGACTGAACCACAGCTACCACAGGGAATACCCACTAATTAACATGCCAGATATGGGCTTTATATCCTGCCCTCTCTTAGTTCCCCATTCAACTACCAGCATTTCCTGAGATTTGCACTCAAATCATGTCCACTGTCTTTTTATAAGATGTTGCAACCTAAGACAAACCTTTATGTTATTATTATGTTTAGTTTTTTCTATCCAGAAATGATCATTGTTTTACTCAATTATTTTATGCTTAAATTTGTCACATGCAAATTATTTTATTTGCTCACCATTCTTTTTTTTATAACTGAGACCTTTCTTTTAGCATCTATTTCCTTTCCTTCTTTCCCATACAGTACATTCCTCAGATCTTTATTTGGGTGATTCTGTTTATATTCAGCTCTCTTGGGTTTTTAGACTGTATTCCTGATATGCAGTTTAGTTGATTATGCAATTATTCATTAAATTATCTCAGCCTTTAAAACTTTATTATACTCTTTGGCAGCCAACTTTTCTGTTAATAATTTAGTGGTTAGTCTAGTTGTTATTCCTTTGTATATTGTCTGTCTTCTCTTTCTGAGCTTATAATATTTTCTCTGTCTCTTTGGTATCCTTCAATTTTACGATAATATTTTTAGGTGGGAATTTCTTCCTGTCTTTCCTCCTTCTGTAGTTATTAAAATTCTTGCTTGGGAAATATTGGGTTTCCTGAATGTGGAAATAGATGCCTGCTGCTAATTCTGGATAATCTTTAATGCTGTCTCTTAGAAATTACCTTTTTTTATGCTTCTTCTCTTATATATTTCTGAAACTTCAGTTATAAGAATGTAAATCTAGCCCCAGCTGGCGTAGCTCAGTGGATAGAGCGCAGGCTGTGAACCAAAGTGTCGCAGGTTTGATTCCCAGTCAGGGTACATGCCTGGGTTGCAGGCCATGACCCCCAGCAACCGCACATTGATGTTTCTCTCTCTCTTTCTCTCTCCCTTCTCTCTCTAAAAATAAATAAATAAAATCTTAAAAAAAGAATGTAAATCTCACTTTTTCAGATTTTCATATTATTTCATATTTCCTTATCTTTTCCTGTGATGAATTCTGAAATTTTTTTCATATATCTGTATCTACCTTTCCTTTAATTCATTCTTTGTGCTTTTAACTTCAATAATTTTCAAATATGAGTTTTTAATTTATAGTCACTTGCTTTTTTTTATAATTTAGGTTTCACTTTATTTCTTTAATTACATTAAACCTTGATTTTATTTGATTTTTAATGATGCCGGTATTTTCATTTTTACAAAATCACTTCATTTTAAGTTGTTTCTTTTGACTTTGGATGTTGATATCTTTCCTCTTCACATTAAGAGCCCACATTTCTTAGTAATTTATGAGAGAAAATTCTTTGAGACTGGTTTTAAAGTATGCTCCTCTAGAGAGTATTTCGGTTTGCTTCCTCTGAGTCCCTTGGGAGCCATAAAGCTGAAATCACTTTCAGCAATATACTCAGCCTGGAGATTTGGGGATTACATTGGTAGCATGATGTCAGCTCCAACACTGCAGGAAAGGTAGCCTGTGGTTATAAATTCGAGGAAGATAAACTTACACAAAACAGCAAAACTAAGACAGGAAAGTTAACTTAGAGTCTTCTTTTGTGGTTCCTGTTTTGTTCTAATTCATGGTTTCATTGAACAAGTGGTCCTTCACAGTTTTGATTTTCTCCATATTTTATAAAACTTCTGTAACCACACCTCCTGCCTTGCATGATCAATTAAAATTGTGTAACTGATTATTGTTCATCAAATTTTACTTTTGTCTGCATACCCATATAAATTTTGATAAGTTGTAAATCTATAATATCTATTTTTTTAGCCTAAATATTAAATGGATGCAAAATTTCCAATCTCTTGTGTTTTAATAATGAAAATTTGGAATAAAACTGTTACTTTACTCTTTTAAATGTGTTAAATAAATATTGAGTTAATACCCACCATTATCCATATAGAAGTATATTATAGAGTTATATTTCAACATTCATAAGTATTATTTATTACATTGTTTTTTCCATTTACATATGTTAAAGTGGTCCCACATGTAGCCCCACCTGTTGTGCAAAGATTCTGCAATCTATGTTGTAGGTCAGCAGTACATTTCATGTGGGGAAAGCTAACAAGGCCAAAGTCAGCTACAGAGAAGGTATGAGCTTCTGTATCCCTACTATCACCATTGAGAGACATGCAGAATAGATTACATTCCAGTGGATGTACATTCTCTTCCTATAGGAAGAATGTGAGAGCAACCTTATTAGAGAAGAAACATATGGATAACTTGTGCCCTGCAAGTCATTTGAGTGGCATCATCTTATGAAAAATATCTGGAATACTACCTGTTTGTCACCTGGAAGTCTTGAGACCATTTGGAAAATGTAAACATTTGTAAGGCCTAGAAAGCCATGGAAACTCATTTCTGATATAGCCTCTCCTTCTGAGCAAAGAAATAAAAAATTCCATTTAAGCCATATCCAAGCAATCCTCTGGGAGTACCTTGAATCATTCAGTCAGCCCTGTGCCTTCTTTCACCAACTCAGTTGCGTGGCATTTCCTACACAGAAATTTATCCTATTACACTCTATTTTGTGGCTCTCTCTATTATACTACTCTTCAAGTAAATTATATTGATAAATTGAAATTGATTTTTCAATTCCTATAAAACTCTAAAGTTAATAAATTTCTTTGTATTAAATTACTATTTGATTATTAATAGTACACAATTGATTAAATCATAAAAATAAAATTTTACTAGAAATGCACTAGTTAATGAGATGAATAAGTCTCTTAAAGTTAATTCATATACTCATAGATGAATATGACTTATTACCAGAATAAAGTGAGGTTCAGTGGAAATTAAGAGCAAATGGCAAGAGCAATGGGTCACCAATAAATTAAGGTCTTACAAAAATATGATTTAATGATTGTTGTAAAGTACATTATTTACAGTGGAATCTCAACATATTTCAACTAGATTAACATAAGACAAATAAGTACATGAATGCACAAATACACGAGGAGATAATTAGTTGACTAGTGATAGTGAGTCAACTTGCACCCAAACAAAAAAACTCATAAGAATTTTTCAGTGTCCAATAATCTTTTGTTAACATTTAATGAAAATGTCTCTTATAAGTCTCAATACATTTTTAAGCTAACTTATTTCTGAAATGTCTTTTGAATGCCAGACGATATCTTTTATATCTCTGAAAAAAATGAAGGTCTCTCGGTGCTTAGCACAGGCTGTGTTCTTATGCTGACACTACAGAAAGAGGAGGCGAAGTAAACCCACCCGTATACAACTCAGCCCAGACCCTTTGTCTGGTGTATATTCTGAATGGGTGGCATGGAAGGAAAATTGGAAATGCTTTTACCTCTTTTATTTGAAATCATGCAGCAAAAGAAGTAGCTGAAGCAGTTCTTTGATTACAGAGATTGGTCAGACAAGATTATTTTGGATTGTCCTTTTTGGATATTTGTTTTGTTTTGGATCTTTTTGTTCTTTCCTGTCTTTTTTTTAGTGTTATCCGTTTTTTGTTTCCTTTTCAAATTCCTGTTCCTTCTTTTTATTTTTTAAAACTCTTCAGAAGTTTCATTTACATACTTGAAAAATGTAATGCAATCAAACTCAGGTAGGTTAAGATTTTGACTTTTTAAATTTTTAAAGCTGCTTGGAACTTGGACCACAGTAACATTCGTGAGAGGATGAGTTTTAGAAAAACATACAGATGAAAGTTAATGTGAAAACTGATTCGCTTAAAGTTGCAGCGCATGCTCATATCCACCAGAAAGCTTCAGTACAACCTGGAAGCATACAGTGCAGTTTGGAGACCTCTGCTCTCAGCCCCAAGGATCACAGGGTCAAAAGGCTACAGTGAACTTAACTTCATTTAGTGCTCTGCATTCGTACTTCCTTGTCATTTTTAGTCTCTAGAGATTCTCCTCACTTCCCTGCTATCTCAACATGTTACTTTTCATTGAGGAAATTAATAAACAAAAGTGAGTATATAATTCACTTTAAGTTTTTTTAACTGGAAGATTTTTTGTTTGTATTTTAAGGGAAAGGGACAAGAGCTAGTATGTCAATATACATAAAATATAATGCACTTCTAAGTTAACGAAAAAACAAATTAAATATGCAAAATAATTTTTACTCAGTTTTAAAAAAACTATTTATTTAGGTTTTACCTAAAATCCTTAAATTAATTGTTTATTCAGATGGTACATAAAATTTATGAGAAAAACAACATGGTTACTTAATTACTCAATCAGTAGGTTATTGCTATATGCCCAACACTTGTTTAGTTGATAAAATAAAGGTTTTAAATGGAAGACAGATCAGTGTCAAATTTGTGAAAGATAATAAGGATCTTCAGACAAACAGCATTTAAGGATACAAAAATTTATTTTTCAAGGTCGCCTAGGCATTGAATCTTTTTTTGTTTTTTCTTTCTAAGGATGATACGAGCCTGTTTTCAATTATTCCCTCAAACTGAAGTTGGATAGTGTAAGATATTTCCAGGACTGTTGTAACATCTGAGTATAAAACCATAGTGCCATGTAAGAATTTGTTTTCAGCTGGATGATCTTGTCAGAGATTCCAGGGACCAAGAAAGCTACTTTTAAGATACTATGCATATGTTCTTGTCTTGGGTAGTTGCCAAACTTCTAATAAGACTCTGTTTTAGGCTAATCAGATGAGGTGCTAAAAATTAAGGGATGTGAGCATTGCCTGGACTTATTAATCTATAACTACCTGACCTGCTTCAGGTAGTATCAAAAATGTGATTAGGTTTTAAGGGATCAGAAAGCTATAGGAGGGAATGGTGAGCTCTTTTAGAGACCCACTGACAGAGGTCTTTGTGACACTGAGTTTTTGAGGAAGGTTTTGTGGGGGAATTGGATATAGTGGGATTTGGGACCAATCACCTTTTAACATATATGATTAGGGGATAATTAACTGAATTGCTTGGGTCTCCCTAAGCAGTAAAAGGTTGTCAAGGATTTCTGAAGAGAGTTAAAATCCAAGGGTATGAGTCTATCCTTTAAATATAAGGCAGAAATAAAATCAATTTGCAGGTTTTAAATTTGAGAGGGAATGAGTATAGTTGAGAAAATTTTTCCCTCTTATTGAGCCAAGTGCCCCTGTGTGATTCTGCATCAAGAAAAAACCTAGTTCCAACATAAAGTGTATTCTTTGTTGTTGTTAATTTGTTTTACACTATTTTAAAATATGTATGCTAAATACCAACCCCCCAGACACAATTTTCTACTTGAGAATTTGTACTGTAGAGAGGTTGGTCTGTTAAAATCAAACATAAAAGAGACCAGACTTGAAAACTCTCTGTGAAGACAAAATCTGTTTAGTTATACAAGCAAATCTTAATCTAGTTTATTTTACAAGATAAGCAAGTTTACTTGATTTGGATTACTTTTTCCTTTGAAAACCGTAAGTGAAACAAATTTTTCTTCCAAATTTGTAAGAGATAACTAGTAACCAATTCCCTCTCATAAAATAAAATTATAATATTGTAACCAATCACTTTGAAGAATAAAGTCACAACTTCCACCCTATATAAAGTGCTTTATAATAATATGACTCTTAGCTTCATCCCATGTTTTGGTTTGAGTGCTCTTGGCTTGCAAACTATATTTTTGGTGTGTGTATAATAAACATTTACTAATTGCCACATTAGTGATTCATTAATTTTACTATTCTGAACTTTTTTACAGCTTAAAATTAGTGTTTGTTGGAATCAGAGTTTATTTATATAGGCCTATAAGATAGAATATATCTTTAAGACATATATATATATGGATAAATATATATATATATATATATATATATATATATATATATACATCCTAAAAAAGACATATATAAATTCTTTTATAGGATAAAAGAATCCTTAAAAGGATATATATATATAAAGTAAAAAGATTTACTTTTTTAAACCTAGGAAGTGAAAGAAACAGTGAGGCTAAAAAAAAAAACATCTTATGAAAGAAGTCTCTCACATGAACCAGAAGAAGAACAAGCTTGGTTATCTTTGTGGATCAAACTTGTTTTTTGTCTGTGTTCAACATGTTTATGGAATGATTTTTATTTTTAGCTGCTCCAGCAGACCTCATGCTCATATAAAGTCTCACTTGCTCTTTCTGTGACTTGGTGGTTTCTTTTTGGTTTAAAAGAAAAATGTGAAGATTTACCCCAGACAGCAATGGCAGTAGTAAAACCACATTAAATCTGGTTCATCCTTTTTCTTATAAAAAGTTATTTTCTCACAGAAAGGAAAATACCAGTGTATTTCCAACTTTGATGAACAAATGCATTTGGGTCACACTTCATATTTACTTATGTTCAGAAATATGAAACACTGGTAATTGGGATCAGAAAGTGATCTCTGATGACGGTGTGCTCTCAGATTGCTGCTGTGCATTAGGAAAATATTCTATGATTATTGAAAGGGATGTATAATAGAAAAGGTGCTAGAGAATTTGTTACTACTGATCTCAACAAATAATTCCCAATTAAAAAGAATACAAAGAAATAAAAAGAATAAAACACAGTTCACAACTGTGTTTTAAATAAGATGTCATTATTATTCCCATTTTATATAATCAAGAAATTGAGGCTGAGAGTGGTGAAGTCTACCTGAAATCACACAGCTATTAAGCGACAGAACCAGCCTCACTCAAGAGTTTTGTGGTTTTGCCCCAGCTGGTGTGGCTCAGTTGGTTAGCCTGTCCTCCAGTAACTGAAATGTTGGGGGTTTAATTCTGGGTCAGGGCACATACCTAGGTTGTGGGTTCCACTCCTTTCCCAGGTGGGTACAATTCCCCATCTGGCCAAGTCCTGGAAGCAACCAATCAATGCTTCTCTCTAGCATCAATGTTTCTCTCTCTAAAAGCCTTAAAAAATGTCCTTGGATGAAGATTTTTTTAAAAAAAGAGTCTGTGTTCTTGTCTAAGAGGCATTGCTACCTCATTTCCTCCTTATGACTCACTAAGTTTCAAGGGAATAGACATTGTAGAGATGGTTTTATTGAGACAAAACACAGTATAAGAACCATTATGATTCCAGGTTGTTGTAACAAAGTTGGCTACTGTACTACAGAAAAAAATATAATTTCTACAAAGCAAGAAAGCTGAAAGCAGATATATTATTCAATAAATATGGAACAATCCCTACATTTGATCTTGCTGGCATTTATTTTCATTCAAGAACTAAAATAATACTTAAATGATGTAAGCTTCATGATGTCAGAAAATAATTAAAATTTCCAGTTGTGATAAGATTCTACATTAGGTGAATAATGCCATAGAAAGTTGTATAAACTTATTTTTGAAATATACACAACTTGAGGTTTGAAGGTGATGGAATCTATTCATGCTGTATCAGTCCCTGGTACCCCTTTGATTCTGCTAAAATGATATAACCTTATCTGATAAATCAAGAGCGCAAACTAATGTTTTAAAGATTGTGTGTTGGCAGGGAAATAGGCCATGCACATTCTCTTTTTCCATTGTAATCCATCTGATAAGAATCAGAAGCCAATAGCCATTCCTGAAAAAATGGAGTGGGTTGATTAAAATGGCATTCTAAGAATAGTAATGTGGAAATAAATTGCAGACTGCATTGAATAATTAGAGAGATTAAGTCAGGGGGAAAAAAATAAGACATTTGCTATCACAGGACATGCACATTGATTAAGAGTAGGCTGTGGGAATGAAAAAGATACTGCAAATAAAATGCAGTACAGTGAATCATGAATTAACATTGGTAAAGAAAAATGAGAAAGAAAATCATGAGAGTAAAATCCAGGATATTAAATGTTATAGAATTTACACAATAAAGGATCTGAAAAAGGGAAAGAAGGAGCTAGTAAAAGGGACAGGGAAAATCATAATACAACTAATTATGTATTTGTTAAGAAATAAGAGAAATATTTAATGAGTTCCTACTTCATTCCTGGGTATAACATTTATACCTAGGCTATAAATGTTAAACTGAGTCACTAAACTCAATATTATACCAGAGGAACTTGTGTTCTCTCTTCTGTATGTTATGTAGTGCCCTTAATTACCTCCTTTTAACTTGGTTCCTCAAAGACTTTTGGTTTGCCTTGAACACAGGCCTGTGTTTCTGACAACCTTCATTTTTTCTTTTAATATCTCAGCTACCATGGATTGCCAAATTTAGGTATAAATCGGGATCCTGCCCTGTTGGTGGCAGTAAGATATTTATAATCTTGGACAAATTATTTAAATACTTTGAAGCTATTTCATCATTCATAAAATAGGGATTGGGGTCTAATAACAACTCTTGAAAGAATCAAATGCAAACCTA